AAAAGGCTCGACGGCTCGTGCGGCCCACAGCCCGGCTCGTGGCTCAGAGCAACCGAGCCCCATTCCGGGAACACGGGCCTAGCCCGAGCCGGCCTGCGAGCCTTAATTTAAAAAAAAAAAAAAATCATACAGGGCAAAAAGGCAGGCAATTTGCTGCCTTAAAGGTGGCCAAAAAAAAGCTCAAGTCGAAAGCTCGGGTCGAGCCGAAACTTTTTGGCGGAGCAAAAGCTCGGCTCGGCTCGAGCTCATAAAAAAACTCGACCATTTTAATCGTGTCGAGCTCGAGCCAAAATTTTTAGCCCGGGTTCAGCTCGTTGACTTCCCTAGGTACATGCGACTACATGTATTTTTGTACTACGATGTTGCATAGGCCTCTGTTTCAACTCCCCCTTCCGTTACTTGAACCAAGTTGATTCATCTTATTTCTTCTTTCATATCTAATATGAAACTTATCATTTTATTTGTTGTGATCGATGTTTCATCCACCGTAGTTTGAACAATTAATCGAATGACTTCTTTGACCTTCTTTTCTCATGACCTAGTTATTGGTTATTTTCCTCCATGATCAATGGATCATTGTCCTTGTTAGCTCCCATACCGTGAATTCCATAACCACTACTTTAAATGCATTCACACATGCAGGTTTTTTTTTCCAACCTTATTCTGCTCTTTCTTTTTCTAAAAAGAACATGCTATATATTTAATTCTATTGATTAATGCGTTGTTTTGATGGTTTAATAACTACTACATGGCTAAAATTAATTCTACTAGTTAATAAAGATGCGTTTTTTTAATAATTGATTTCTCTAAATACACTACCTCGATAAAATACGTTATTTTTATTTTTATTAAATTAAGAGGGTTAAGAAATAGAAAATCAAAATTTTCTTCAAATTATTTCTTTGTTTAATTTAATTACTCTTCAAGGGGTCTCTTCCAGAAAATTTCTAGAAATTATCAATATATCAAGGTATGTCTTTAGATTCATGGTGAAGTTCTAAGACTGAGAATTTTGGTTAAACAATCGTTTTTCTGTGAACTATTGTTTTCTAACTAAACTATATTAATCGAATAATTGACATTTCGAAAAGTTTAAAATTTCACTTTTAATTTTGTTCAGTGAAGTCTAATTTAACGTACTAAATAGACCCCCGAGTAAAAAAGATGTGGATTCCTAACTTGGTCATAAAGAAAAAGACTTTTAAGCTAAACATATCCTCAAATTCCTAAATACAATTAAAGCTCATTTTCTTTTTTAAAGAAACTTTTCTATTGACACTATACTACAACTAACAATTCTGGGTTTCACATCCCTTTCTATTTCCTGTAGAATGTTGATAACTTTTTAGTGCTGAAAAAGTATTCACTAGAATAGAGTTTTGTAAGGCAAAGCAACGGAAAAAGAAAGAACAAGTGAGCATTAATTTAAGTCAGACCCAATTATGCCCCTCATATGTGGTCGAGTTGGTGGAATAGGTGAGCGCGGAGATCTTTGATCACGAGTTCGATTCCCTCTACCAACACTTTTTCAGTCGAACCTGTCGCACAGAACTTGCCTAGTACGATTTATCTGATTGGCATAGTTTGCAGGTTATTGCGTCAACCTGAGAATTTACCCAATACGCACCCGAAGGGTAGCGGTTGCGAGTTCCCCATCACTAAAAAAAAAAAAAGTAATAATAATAATAAATAGGGTCAGACCCAATTATAGATTATTTTGTGAAAGAAAAGAAACATTCAACATGAAGCAGATGTTGTCTCTTTTCATTAATCACACGCTTGCCACGATGACTTTCTTCGCAAAAAATTATGTTATGTTTGGATAAATTATTCAATAATATTGAATGAAATTAGAAATTAAAATTTTATTAATTACGTATCAAATATTCACTTATTACATATTATGTTGTCCAGCATGCATACTATACATAATTTCATGATAATGGCTCGAATCTAAGCTAATTAAATTTGTTTCATGCACTAAAAAGATGGTCGTAAATTTTGAGATCGATCGTTTCAAGCCAGTAGAATTTTCCATACCCAATTTCATGGGTTTGGTGATGTTCCAAACAATTAGGGGAGAGTCCATGACAAGTTCTTTTGGATTTGACCAATTAACATTCCAAGAAGGAACCCAAAAAACATCTCTTTCTTTTGCCCCAACTAACCCAACATCCAAAGACATTGGTGTCAACAAATGATGCCCATGGTTCTCCAAAGTAGTGCTATTATCTTCATATAACCAATTAGGTAACCCCTTTTTTTGGAAAGTTTAAGGTGTAGAAGCAAACTACAATTTGGTCACTATTATATCTTGTATTTTGCTAAGAAACTTAATTTATTGTTAAATATAGCATGCTAACATGATAGAATATTTACTAAAGATTTCTTCTTCGTCTATGACTAATTATTATTTGTCCTGCATAAATTTACTTGATATTCCATTTTAAAAAGTCAACCTTGTTAAAAAATATTATCGAACCCTTATATATTGTATATATTTATTCATGTTTATCCAACGTTAAATTTACATTGAACGCAGTGCATTTTAGGACATAATTTGCCCATCATAAGTTACATATCCATCTAATATTTTCCAAAAACAAAAAATTATATATTTGAGTTGAAATTGAACAGTTTGAGTTTTGCACATCTGTAATATCGAATAGTAGTGGTTTTTTTTTCTTTTTTTTTTTAATTACTAAAATTATTATTCAAAGAACAGTTTAATTATCCAAGAACTATGTCATTCAAGTTGATCCCTAAAATATATATTTAATTGCTACAACTTTAACACCCCAACCTGAAACTTCAGATGTTTTATATGAATTACATATCGTCGGGCAAGATTTTTCAGAAGTCAAACATTGCTTCCAACGTCAAGAAGTTATTGTTGGATCAGTTTGAAGATTTTTTTTTTTTAAAAGTGATTTATTAAATTAGAAAAACTTTTAAAGAAAATTGGTCCAAAATAACTTTCTTAGAAATCTTTTTACATAAAGCAGAAGCAGAAGCAGAAGCAGAAGCAGGACCTTGCCAACGGGCCTATAAAAAACATTTTTACCTTTTCAATTTGTATTTAGGGTATAAATGAGTATGTTACATACTAAAATTATATAATAGCTAAATATATTCACACCAAATTTTTTAATAAATATATAACCCTCATTTTTAAAGCATGTTGACAAATATTTTTGAACAAAAATTATGATATGGACAAGATTTTATGGTTAATGAAATTTTAAAAATAAGAAAGTAATGCAAAAAAAGTTAAGAATATAAGTATTATAATAAATCAAGGTTAATGATACTTAATGTAATTAGAATATGGTGTATTTATAAATAAATAAAAAATGTAGTGTCAATAGTTGAATTCAAACTAGATTTTGATTATTCAAATTTATATCAAAATAATTCAAATGTTTGTTTTTCATTTTAATGTAAGCTTAGAAAAAATTTGTATTTTGAAATAGTAATTTTTTGAAAAAAGTGTGATTTGAAAAGAAAAAAAAAAAGAAAAAAATATTAAAATTTAAATAAAGTCCAATTAGGGGCTAAGATAAGCGAGTAGAGAAATTATTGGTGGTGGTGTGCTTGGAATTTAGTCCAAATAAGTACGTGGCCGATGGCTCTTTCGAGGGGCTGCTTCCAACTTTGCCGGATAAAATTGGTATGGACACGTGCAACCACGTACTGCACCAACCCGGCCCATGACCCATTACACCATTGATTGTTTTGTGGAAAATATGTTAAATTACTATTTTCCTAATTAATAGCTCCTGTCTTGTATAGTTATAAATCTAAATCTAAATTATAATTAATATTTAATTTTAAGCACATACAACTAAGGACACGTGCAGCCACGTACTGCACCGTCACGGCCCATGGCCCATTACACAGCTGCTATCTAATGAACACTTAGAGTCTGTAACCATTAGTCTACTATTTTTCTAACTAGCCCCTATTTGATATAGCTACAAATTTAGATGTTAATTTAAGTTAAATTTAATATTTAATTTTAATCATACATTTTATAAAATTTATAATTTTTCAACCATACATATCATCATCTTTTATTTAAAATTTATTAAAAATTTAATTTTTTATCTACACGAAAGAGGGACTTAAAGTAATTTTTAATTTATATTGTTGGAAAGTAACTTTGAACTATAAAATACACTTGTTTAGTTTTGGGATGATATGTCAAAATTAGTTTCTTGTTTATTGTATTAACATGGTTAAGAAAAATGAATGTGTCATTGTTTGATTTTTAAATAAAAATCAGTTCTTAATATATTTTGATAAAAGTAAATGGAATATTTGGTTTGAAAGTTGTGGATCTTATGAAATATGTAGTCAAAATTAATTATTGACTTTGATTTATATTTTCATCACGTTTTTTAACGAAGCTAAATAGAGACCAATTAAATAATCAAGGAAAACTAGACATTTTACCATAGATGTGACTAATTTCAAACGAGTTTAAAAGGTTTTAACGATCAAAGTTAACTCTACATACTCGCCTTAGAAAGAAAATTCCCTATATGCAATTTGACTCATAGATATTGAATTTATAGACAGGATATTGAATAAATTTTGTCACCAAGTTAATGGTTTTACAGGGCAAAGTTTACTCTACATCTACGACCTAGTACTTGACTTTAAAAAAAAAAAAAAAAATGAAGAAGAAGCTCAATTTCATTTGACCAGTAAACAGTGAACTTATAGACAAAATATTTAATTAATTTTATCGCACGTTCATCTTTATTTATCATTTCCAATTCAACGTAACTTTATACATATAATAATCATCTTACCCAGCCCCATCCCTTCCTGCATTGTCACATCCTTAAAAATGAAAAAGAAAAAGCCAAATGAAATGGAGCAACCCATTGTCCACCTTTGGTTCTGCAGACTTTAGATTGAAAATGACACCATTTTCCAAAATTAAAAACAGAAAGGATCCAAATATAAGAAAGAAAAAGAAAAAAAAAAGTGTTAAGTGTTGAAATCCTATTGGAAATCCATCCCCAAAAGAATATAAAAGGGGACCAATTACACCAAAGTAGCCAGCATCCCCTCACGCCTTTTCGTCTAGTTTGTTTCAAAGAAGAGAAGACGAGAATTTGCCGACTTGCTCTCAATACACAGCCACACCCAAAATCCCAACTCAAAAGCCAACCCTCTTTATATTCACGCAGTCGACACACACTAAAAAGTTCCATTTTAAGCACAAAAACACACTCAATCAGCACCAAGTGTCTTCTTTGTCATGGATAATGGTCTCCAGCAGCCCACAAGACAATCCCGATTCAGGCGGATATGTGTTTTCTGCGGTAGCAGCCCCGGCAAGAACCCCAGCTATCAGATTGCCGCTATACAACTCGGAAAACAACTGGTATTCTATTTTTACCTCTTATTCCTATTTGCATGTTTTTGTAAACCTATTTTTGGTCCCAATCCCGGGTTAAGGAGGAGGGTTACAGTAGGTTGACAAGCGCAGTTTCAAAATCATCGGACATGGCTTTCTTAAACCTGTCTTTTGTTCCAAGAGGGTTACGATGGATTGACAACAATAAATTTTGTCTATAAACCTGTCTCTATAATTTAGTTTTCTTTATTTTTTACATGCAGTAATTTGAAACTTTTTTCTGTGTTACATCAAAGTTTATCTTCAGAAACCTACAGAATTAGAAATTTTGTAATGTTTCATTTGAAGTAATTAGGTTGAAAATAAGCTTAATCAAGCAACAAGGTTATTGTTTATTTCAGCAAGATCAACGTGAAATGTTTCTTAATTTATTATCTCAATTTTAATATATCGTTCTTGGTGAAATAGTATTGCGTGTTATTGCAAGAAATGTTTATTGTTTTAAAAAAATAATTGACAGGTTGAGAGGAACATCGACTTGGTATATGGTGGTGGAAGTGTTGGATTAATGGGCCTAATCTCCCAATCTGTTTATAATGGTGGCCGCCACGTGTTAGGGTACTCATTTTTTATTTTTTTTTTGGTCTACACTAGATTAATTTTCAGGCATATTTTTCATTTTTAATTTATTTTGCAGGGTTATTCCAAGAACTCTGATGCCCACAGAGGTAACTGAAATTGTTACTTTTTTCAAAATATTAATGCACATTGATGTGTGTGAATATGAACCACATGATTTGATGTAAAACTTTTCATAGAATTTGTCTTGTCCTCTATCATGTATCCCGAACTTTGAGTAAGTCTCTCTTAATTCTTAATAATTTACAGAAAATTTTCGACATCGTTATTTTCCAAGTTATTCGGCCATCCTAACATTTTTCTGTTGAATAACTTTCTGTTTTTCGAAGACACTGGTTATTTGGTTCAAGCTCAAATTTATTAAATCTTAGAAATGATTAATTATATAATCAATAATGGTGAATTCAGATCACTGGAGAACCTGTTGGAGAAGTGAGAGCAGTATCTGGAATGCACCAAAGAAAGGCAGAAATGGCTAAGCAAGCTGATGCGTTCATAGCCTTGCCTGGTAATTATTTTCTTTTTCTTGATTGAGCTTCATATTCTATGATTATCTGATTTTTTAATTAACTTGCATATGGAAATACATAATTTGAAATTGAAAAGAAATAAGATAAAACCTTTCTTGACTCTCAGGTGGCTACGGTACATTAGAAGAACTCCTAGAAGTCATCACTTGGGCTCAACTCGGGATTCACGATAAACCAGTAAGTCATCGCATTATATATATATTTGATACGTTAAATCAAACAAGACATTAGACAAACATCTCACATGGCTTTCTTCTTCACACGTACCATTTATAGAAAGTCTTTTGATTATTTGTTTGTACCATTCAGGTAGGTCTGCTTAATGTCGATGGGTACTACAACTCACTGCTGTCTTTTATAGACAAAGCTGTTGATGAGGGTTTTGTTACACCCTCTGCCCGTCATATAATTGTCTCTGCCCCAACTGCCCATGAACTTATGTCCAAACTTGAGGTACATTATCATCCAAGAAAATTTCACCCTGCCTCATCTCCACACATGTGACATGACATGACTAGCAACTTGATAACATTATTGAATATAGTAATGAAATTTGTTTTACGTACGGTACAAACAGGATTATGTTCCGAAACATAATGGAGTTGCGTCGAGACTGAGTTGGGATATGGAGCAACAATTAGGTTACACGGCAAAACTAGAAATTGCTCTCTAGCCTCGACCTAGTTTATATATCTCCAAATATTTAGGCAAGTAACATGCAAGAAGATCATCAGTTGACACAGGAAACATGCATTGTGGCTGTTACCAAAGTTGTGTTCAAGTGTTACCTTTTGATTGATTTGTACATAATTCTTATCTGGATCAACAAGAACGGTAGTTTTGTTAGTTTGTGATTATTGTTCATGCATAATTTCATTAGTATATGAAATTGTACGATATGAAACAATCTTTCAGTAGATGTAATGATAAGTTAATCATGGTGTCAAAAGAAAAATGTCTCGACTTCAGTTAAGTTTATTGAAACTTTTATTCGTTGTAATTGTTTAAAATTTGAGAAATCGATCAAAATTACATGAGATAAAATGTAGATCAATTATTCGTAATTGTTTCTTTATGTCTTACTTGGACACGTGATGTAATTCAGATTGGATTCAGTGATGAATGACTAAGCTCTTCATAAAAGTTTCACTAGATTTCGAAAAGTTGATAAAAAAAAATAATTGTGAATTCCATAAAATTTGTAATTAAAATTAAGGTTTGACCGACTAAAAAATTATCAAAAAATCAATAAATTTAGATTGACATTTCTCAAAAATGTCAAAAATTAGAAACATAATTTTTGATTGAATAATGTTATTTGTACATCATTGTGTACATAATTATGATGTACAAATAGCATGACATGAAATAAAGAAAAAGAGAAAAATATAGAAGGAAAAAAAAATTTCAATTATTATAATCTCTCTCTTTCTTCCATATCATTTGCCTATACACCATTATGTAAACAATGATGTACAAATAGTATTATTTTATTTGCGGATACCACTTTCTAGATTCTAAAATAATAAACTTTTAAACGCCTATCTTTTAACTTGTTCTTTTAGGTTTTTTATTTACATTCTAAAGGACCAATTTAACCTTTTAAAAAGTCAAATGTTGACATTATGTTTTCCTGGTAGATATAATTCAACTATTTTGTTGAGTTGGTCGAACTTGTATACTCAAACAACTTTAATTTTGTTTGGAATGAGTTGTACTTATATTCAAACATGACCAAGTTGGTCAAGTATCTCAATTATATTTATCAATTTGATTGAGCTAAATTATTTTCTTGTTGAACTCTATCATTACTAGAAGAACATGAGGCTAAAGGATGGAGACGAGAAGAATAGCTAAGGTATCAGGCTTGGTTTCAAGTGCACTTGGACTTAAGGAGATGTCTCGCTTGGAGTTAATTCAAAATTTTCGAAGTCTTGACCCTCCTACCTAACCGACTAATCCCAACCTCCAAGGATGGACTTGGGTCAACCCACACTCGAGCAAAAATAGAAAAAAATCTCCCTCCTCGTATAAAAATAAATTATACATATATAACATGTTTGGTACATTAAATATTATAAAATAAGCTCAAGAGAAATAAATATGCTCGTTATTTACTATCTTAAATTCTTGTCCAATTCAATGAATCAAATTATGAACATGAGTGCAATTAGAGTCAATCAAGTTGGAATAATGACTAATCTTATCTAATAGAGGGATAGCTCTATCCAGGTCTTCCAAATATGCATTATACCAACATGCTAAAGCCAAAGTGCCCAAAGGTTTTATCACTTTTTCAGTGCAAAAGTACTTTCTCGTGCACAAAATTAACGATCGCTTTCACACTGTGCAAAGTGGTATGTTTGTTCAATTTAAATTACTTGATGTGAAATAAACACACACAGATTCTTAAGTCGCGAGCTTTTTTAATACAAATGTGAACACGTATCTGAAATACGGTCGTTTGAAGAAGACAATTCACGGGTTTCGACACGTGTCTGATGCAACCTTCCAACAAATCAGGTGCAGAAGTGGGAAGGGATGGTGTAGAGTGGCCCTCACTCACTTTCCACAAACATGTTCGATGTTCCAACTGCTAGTGTTACAGATAAGAACGCACAGACAAGAACGCACACAATGAGAAAAGTGTCATAGCTAGTGCGCATATGCACACAGCATTAACCAAAGAAAATCTCCATTTTTCTTAAAAAATAATTTATTCTTAACCTTACTGTTATGTAATGTGTTTTCGTCTTTGACAGCACTACATCATCCAAGATTTTAGTCAACCAATATGCCTCTTTCAGGACAGTTTTGTTGGAATTTACTTATCATGCACAGCGAAAATAAAATGAATTTCAATTCCTATTAGGATTTATCTTTGTATTTAGATAGAAATTGTGATAAAAGTTATACATTTTCTTATATCTGCAAACTCCTTTACTTTATCTTTGTTCCAACAACTTGGATCTGCCTCCCACATCTGTCCAATTGTCCAGCCTCCAATGAATACACACAGAGAACATATTGTAACTATCAGGGTTTTCTCCTCTTTTGCCAGCAATAATTATGAGATTCTCTACGAATTAAAAGCCATAACCATGTATTTATATAAGTCCAAACTGGATTGGCCTGACATGATCTAATATTTAATTAAGCTATTTAATTAAATTCGATCCGTGAATTAATTAATTAATTCGGGCCTGTAAATAACGAACCTAATTAATTAATTTATCCAACGATTGTTAAATTAATTAATTGACAAAATACAATCTTCATATTCTCTTTTATGTATGATCTATCAGGTTCCCAATTACGATATCTAACGATGTGAAATACTATTTTGATCTAATCAAAAATTGATAAATTAAAACATCCTTTTAATTTATCACAAATTCACATTCGCCTTCCCAAATTGACATCTAGCAATGTGTCAGGGCAACACATGTGATGGAAAATGTCACGTGGTATGACAAAATCAAACTTGTTCATTTACTAAAAAACTATAATCCGTTCGTCAATATGATCCAATCAATTACGAGATATAAAAGTGTGTCAATCTCGATTATTGATCATATTTTTCATTCTACTATTAAGTCAATATGAGTCGAAAACTCTTTTTCGACTTATGAGTATACTTTGACCAAGAATTTTGTTATCGACTTAATTGAATGAAATGCAGATCACAATATCTTATTATCTAAGAGTGACAAATTCTCTATTGATTATTCACAACCTTCATATTGTTCTTGAAATACCCGAACGCTGTCGTATTAGCACTCCTTGGCAAAGCAACATCCAACATTGTCAAAGCATGACAATCCTCATACAAGACACTATGACGACCTCAAGTCAAATGATCAATTCCATTAATGAACGTTAGAGATTAATTACTAACACTCAGATAATTATTCATGTGGAATCTCTTAGCGGGTCTCCAATGTTTTGTTCTATAACAAAATATTCACGCGTTCATCTTAAGTGTCACCACACTTTAACTTGTGAGATCAGCTACTTACTTTACAAATAAGAAATGTCATACGTGATTGCCTATCCGTAATAACGATATCTGTTTCTTGTTATTACTTACGACCATGGATTATTCAAAATCCAATCATATGCAATTTGCATCTCACAATCACAACTCCTTGTGATTAACAAATTATTTAAACTTGAATCTTCGAACTCTATTATTTAATATTATTTATCAAATTATTAATTTAAATAAATAATAGATCTTGCCAAAAATAAATGCATTAAACATATTAAAAGTGTTTACAGCCTAAATCGATTAGATTTATGGCATAACACTTACAAGTTTCAGGGATATTGTTTAAAAAATTGTTAGTCGCTCAACTTCTGATGAAGTTTGATACAGTCACTGAATTTTATGTTGTTACAAAATAGACAGGACCTTTTGAGGCAATTATAGACCTCGGGATCCACACCTAAATAAATAGAGTTTTTCAAAAATACCTACTAGTGTACCTTATGCGAAAGACTTAACCACTGATGATGTGGTAACCAAACCAAAAAGAAGGCCAACAATGAGTGCACTGTTGTATGTGCTAGGTTCTCCCTGCATAGAATTGTTCTTTAAATCGAGATATGTTTCGTTAAGAAATGGTCCATGTTCAAGAAATATTTCTTTTCGATTTTAAAACCCACCGCAAGTGTACGGTTCGTTAACAAGTAGTAAAATGGATTATGAGTCCAAGTATCGTTCCCACGAGGATTGAATTAGCTCTAATTAGACTAATGTGACCTTAACCGAATCTAATTGAATGAAAAATTGGTTTAAATGTGAAAAACCCTAATTTTGGAAGAAATCCCCAAATTGAAACCCTAATTGCAAAGAAAACCCTAATTTCAAAATTGGAAACCCTAATTTTGAAATTTCACTAATCTAATGAAATAAACACGCAACTGAAATGTAAATATGCAATTTTAGAACTAATGTATTGAAATGAATAGAAATGAAATCATTAAGAACTTGAATCCCCAATTGACTATTAAAAACCCTAATTTCACAAATTCAACGAATCGATGGAACAAAATGCCAATTCAATGTTCCTAAATTATCCAATACACTCTCTCGATATATATTGAATCTACTCTTACACACCACCAGCCTATATTTCTATGGATGATGCAATGTACAAGAATGCATGACTTTTTATGAACATCTTCATGAATTGCATAAAGCATAGAGGTAAGTTTCCATCCCCTATCGGACCCTATATCGATTTGTACTCTATCGAATTTATTCCCCTTCTTTCGAATGCAAAGAA